TCCCGCGCCTGCCCCGCGTTCAGCAGTTCACGCGCCTTCGTCTCCGCGATCAACAGTGACGGGGGATCCCCCTCCGCGCCCGACACCGGCGCCGCCAACAGCACACAGAACGCGCTCGCGCAGAGCGCCTGAAGCGCCACTCGGAGCAACCTGCCCAGCATCACGTACCCTCCTTCGGGGAGGAGGACCACGGGCCGGCCCATGCCCCGCGCCCCGTGTCCTCGCCAAGTTCCTTCCATCGGTTCCGCGGATCCGCCGGCTACATAAAAAGGGGCGGCCCACTCAAGAGGCCGCCCCTTTCCGGCGCATCGCTATTCCCTGTTTCAGGACGAAGCGAAGCTCCGGTCCACTAGCCCGAGATTAGTTGCCGTCATCCGCCGTTGCCGTCATCCGCTCGGCTGCGCAAAGTTCACCGAATGATGCGCGCCGAACACACCGGACACGCCGGCAAAGCCCATTTCCGGGAGAGCCTCCTCCCGTCTCGGTGCGACAGCTCATTTCACTGGCAACCAAACGTCGCGTTGAACAAGCCTGCAACCGAACTCGGCCAGAGTCGCCTCGGCCGTAGAACTCGCCCTTCCAAGTACCGTTCCAATCCCGACCGTACGCTTCTCCGCTCGTATTCCATGCGAACGCACTGGTTTCGATCGCAACTTCTTCGAGAACCACATGCCACGGACGAGGCATACCGCTGTCATCACAAAGTCCTGATCGTACCCTTGATCATGTCGGTCTGCAAAGTTGGCTTCCATCTCGGCCTTGGCCGTAAACAAACCCTTCCGGGCGGTATCGGTGCCGATGTCCCGTTCCGCATACTTGCCGACTGCGGAGCCCGTGTATCTCGCGGAATCGTTGGGGCCTCGTCGATCGCCCACGTCGGCAGCGCCATAAGGATCGCTACCGGCGAAGAATCGGCCGAATCTGAAATCACCAGTGGATCGCTCAGGCGCCTCCAGCCACCAGCCCATCACCAGGTAATCGCCGTCCTGCCGCGGCGTGTCTACGAGGGCCGCACGGTCAGTGGCAACGAACTCCAGTATCCGCGGCCGCGAAACTATACTCCACTCCATCCACAACCGTGCCACCTACTTTTTTGTCGGTTCTAACTGCGCCGATCGTACACAGGCCGTCAGCGCATGTTTCCGTTCGCAGATAAAATTTCCAGGTACTCCATCGAAGGTTCCGCTCAACATGCTGGTCCCGCCCTCATGTTCATCACCCTCGCCGGTATTGCGCCTCAATAGGATTAATGGCGTCGGTTATGACGATGCCGGATGGGTTGTTCTCGGGGTCCGCGACGGGGTTGCCCAGCGGCGGGGGCACAGGGAGATGCTGGGGGTCAATACGGGACAAACTCCAGAAATGATTCACGGTATCCACCATGCCCTCAGCCTCTTCGGCAACAGACTGCATAGCCGTCCGGCGCGTTGGACGGCCCGCCGGCCACGGGCTTGTCCTCGAAGTCGCCCTGCGCGATATCAGCGAGGTCTCGCTGTATGCCGCCAAGAGCTCGTTGTAATTCGGCTTTCCGGCGACCCACGTATTCATTGTACCCATTATCTGTTCGCGGCGTGCGTGACGTCGATCCCCGTCCCCGGGTCTTCCACCACCGGGTCCACGGGCTCAGGTTCGGGCCAACTACCAGTCTACCATACGCGGTCTCAAACATCTCCTGCCAGGGATCCATTACGTCCGTGTAGGCGTAGGTCATCAAGTTCCGTCCGCCCGGAAGGCCCTCATTGAACAGGGCGCCTTTCCAAACACCACCCGGACCACCCGGTGTAACGGCCGCTGTACCGGCGGGGACCATGCCGCCCTCATCGTCCTCAAGCTGCAGCCCGGGGCTCGTCAGCATCCCAATCGAGAGGCCCGACCCGGTGATGGCGGCTTTGCTCGTCATGACCACGCCGTCTCCGAACCGCGCCTCTAGCCTGTCGTTTAAGTCGGTTAGTCAACACCCACCACAGAATCCGCCATTACCAGTCCGGCGATCTTCCGCGCGATCCTGTGCTGTCAGCCGCCGTAGCTGCCGTATCCACCCTGCCAATTTCGTCGCGCAACGCTACCGCGTCCGCGTGGCTCATGCCGGTCGCCCCCAGCGCAGCCAGAAGAGCTGTGTACTGGCGGGCCATGGTGACGGACATTTTGCAGGCTTGTCCCGTCATTAAGAGTCGGCAGGATAGCCGTGAGAGCGTCGTACTGTGCTTGCGTAATATCGGCTCGGCCAACGAGCGTCCGGAGAACGGCGACACTCAACTCCATGTCGCCCATCGCGTCCATCAGGGCGTCGTAGTCAGCAGCCGTGATGTCGGCGCGCCCGGCCAGCATCCTGAGATTCTGAACGTTCAAGGGCATGTCCACCGGCAATTCGTTCATGAGGTTCTCGTATTGTGCCTGTGTAAGCTCGGCGCGTCCCGCCAACTCCGACAGGGTCCTCACGGTCAACTCCATACCGGCCGGTAATACGGCCATCAAGGCATCGTACGCCCCCTGCGTGATATCCGCCCGCATGACCAGCGTCGCAAGGTTCGCCGGCGTAAGGTCCATCGTGCCCAACGCTCTCTTGAGAGCGTCGTACGCTTCCGGCGTTATCCTGGCGTCCCGCTCGGCCGTCAGTCCGCGACTTGTTCCTTGTACATCTCCAGGTCGTTCTTCAAGCCGCTATTGTCGGAGCCCGAGCAGCCATAGAGAGCTGCCATGACCATAGCGGCCGCTAAGGCCATTACGGTTTTACGATTCAACATTCCAATGTCCTCCTTACCAAGTTAAGAAATCTCGATTCCTTCGCGGCCTGCCTCCGCAATTCCAGAGAATCGGTAACACAACCCCATGGGGAATGCAAGCACAATAAAACACTCTTTTGCACTCATTTCGGGAGTAACGCGACACACAAGCCCAAATCTCCGGTGAGTTGGAATCGCACGGCGAGGAGCCGAGCGAACCAGCGTTACGTCCCCGCTGACCGAAGAAGAGTTAGCTAACACAGGCGTCCGACGAAAGCAATCCGAAATACTGCTGAAATCCACCACCAAGACATGCGGGGGAGGCATTTGGGGGCATCGATAGAGTGTTGAAAGCCATGGCGGGGTCAGTCGGGGGTCATGGGTAGGGCGTGGGTCCAGGGCTGGTGGGTGTTGGCGGTGTTTCACACTGTTTGGGGCTGTTTTGAGGCTGAAAAGGACAAGGCTCGGGGTTGGCGGACGGGCTGAGTCACGATGGATTAAAGGGAGTAGGCCGGGTCTAGTGTGGTGTCTCACAAATACGCTTACGAATCTGCGGGTCCTTTTGGCTCCGCGCATCCTGAGCGTAGCGAAGCGAAGTCGAAGGGCGGCTGCGTTGCTCTTCCTCGCGTGGTAACGGCCACACGGGCGGGTTTGAAACCCGCCCCTACAAGTCATCGCGCCTTGCCGACGACCAAAATGCCCTCGCATCTTCATAAGCGTATTTGTGAGACACCACACTAGCCCGTGAAAAGGCGGATCGCGCAGCGGTTCCCGGATGGCCAGGAAGCGGTACGCCGCACTCCTCTTGCGGTGGCCGATCCAGTTGGGCATGCCGCTGCATAAATCCCACCATACAAATAAATCCCACCATATCCCCGTTCACCTTCCACAGCCCCCTCAATACGCCGTTGGCCACCGGTATGAACGCCCGGTGCTCTTCCCGCCGCTCCTCCTCCCCCACCTCGTGGAATCCCTCCAAATACCGAAACACCGCCGACGCCGACGGCACCCCTCGAAGCGACCGACGTCGAAGGGATCCGGCGCGAGTTCCACAGGTCCATCGATGAATACATCGATTCCCGCCAGGAAGACAGGGTCGAGCCTCGGAAACCATTCTCCGGGAAGCTCAACGTCCGCCTTGGTCCGGACCTTCACCAACGAGTTGCGCGTGCAGCGGCAGCGAGCGGTCAAGCCTCAACGGCTGGATCATGCAGGCCCTTGAGAAGAGCGTGTCGGTTCCATGATTACCCGACGCGGGCTCGCGCTATCGACGCGGTCCATGAGCATGGGCTGTCCTTCTGGGACGCAATGATTTGGGCCACGGCGCGACAGGCCGGCTGCTCCACGGTCCTCAGCGAGGATATGCAGGACGGCCAACGCCTGGGCGGCGTCGAGTTCGTCGATCCATGTCGATCCATTCTCCGCGGATGGAGTCTCTCGGGTGGCGGATCTGCTGGATGGGTGACATGCGCTGGTTCCGGTACTATCGGATTCCCCACAAACAACTCACCGGCAAAGCGTACAGGCGTTGCCCGAACGTCAGCTTTCGTTCACCCAGATAAAAGACGATCGAGGTCACGGTGCGGGTCTTGCCCGGGCCCTCGAAGGCGAACCACCGCATGTGCCTGAAGTCCTGGCGGCTCACCGATGTGGCGGCCTTGACTTCGATGGCAGCCAGGTCGTTGGCGCTCTGTTGAGCTCCGTGGCCGTGCGGACGGCGAGTTGATCGATCAAACGCCGGAGCGCGTCGCCTTTCCTGATGCGGACGATGTCTGCAACGTCCCGGTCCACCATGGCATCGACGTATTCGCGATAGACTCTTTGTCGCCTGGTATGATCGAGATCGCGGATCTCGGGAAAGCCTCCCTTGAGGACGCGGCCGATGTAGTCCGCCCGGGTCGCGGATTCCGGCGCGGGCAGATCCTTCAGGTCCGGATCCTTGGAAACCGCCCAATCAAGCACCATCGACGGCCCGCGAGACATGGTTTCGGCCCAGTGATAGAAGCGAGATCCGTTCTTCTGGAAATCGGGGTCAGAAAAGGGGGCCTTGTAGAAAAGACCCGCGGCTATCCTGACTCTGCCGGCGGCGGAAGCCTCAAGAGGATGGTCTTGATGTCGTTGCGGATAGTAGTGATCTCGCTCTCGACGCGGTCAAACCTGTTGTTCATGTCGTTCTCCAGGCGGTTGAACCGCTCGTCTACCAGGTCGAACCTGTCATCGATGCGCTCGAACCGCTCGTCCACCAGGTCGAACCTGTCATCGACGCGCTCGAACCGCTCGTCCACCAGGTCGAACCTGTCATCGACGCGCTCGAACCGCTCGTCTACCAGGTTGAACCTGTCGTTGATGACCTTCAGGTTGGCGTCGATGCTTGCCGTCGAGCTGTTCAATTCGCCCTTCCAGCCGGTTGAGCTCCGGGGTGACCTGGACATTGATAGCCCACAAACCCAATGCGCCCAGTGCGGCAAACACCGTAACCGCAGCCGTGATCACACCGGCATATTCCTTGAGTGCCTCCATGTTCCTTGAGTGCCTCCAGCCTCCATGTTCCTTGAGTGCCTCCATGTTCGCCCTTTCATACGCTGCGCTTACGGGAAAAGAGCCGCGGCTATCCTGTCTCTGCCTGCGGCGGAAGCCTCAAGAGGATGGTCTTGATGTCGTTGCGGATGGTCTTGATGTCGTCCTCGACGCGGTCAAACCTCTCGTCGATGTGTTCGAACCTCTCGTCTACCAGGTTGAACCGTTGGTTGATGACCTTCAGGTTGGCGTCGAGCTTGCCGTCGAGCTGGTCGATCGCCCGTCGAGCCGGTCGATCCGCCCGTCGAGTTTTTCAATCCGCCCGTCGAGCCGGTGGAGCTCGGGGGTAACCTGGACATTGACAGCCCACAGACCCAATGCGCCCAGTGCGGCAAACACCGTAACCGCAGCCGTGATCACACCGGCATATTCCTTGAGTGCCCCCATGTTTCACCCTTTCATACGCTGCGTGTATTCTATGTTTGGAGGATCGGCCGGTCAAATACTTTCTTTAAAGTTGACTTTCTTTGGAAATTGGCGTTCGTCCCGAGCGGAGATTTGACTTGTCTTGGGAAAAGCCTGATAAAGGGACAGTCTGGGCTCGGACGTTTCACAACGGCTTCCGCAGCGGGCCGCAACAAATTCTTAGCGCAAGGAGAACATCCCATTGGCAACCTCCATCACAGCTCCCATGGTTGGTAAGATATTGAGAATAGAGGCGAATCCCGGCCAGGCCGTGGAAGAGGACGATGTGATCATCGTGATGGAAGCCATGAAGATGGAGATTCCCGTGGTGGCGCCGGCCAACGGGACGGTGAAGGCGGTCAACGTCGAGGTCGGGCAGTCGGTGGAGGCGGGTGAGGAGCTCGCCGAGATCGAGTAGCCCCCAGGGCTACGGACGGCATTCCACCCGGTATAGTTGGCATGGGCACCTGGGAATTCGGTTTCACGGTTGCGCTGGTGGGCAGCGTCGGCACCTTGCTGGTGCTGTGGCTGCTGAGCCTTCTGATACTGCTGATCCGTAAATCTTTCCTTCGTAAGAATCCAACCTCGTCATTCCCGCGAAAGCGGGACCCACCCCGCCTGGATTCCCGCTTTCGCGGGACTGACGGAGGGGGCGGGAACTGACCTAAAGGACAAACCTTCACAATATGGGATCTGCGATTCTTTCCGGCGCCTTGGGGCTGTTTGACGGCGTTTCGCACCTGGAGCTCGGCCAGGTGGTCATGATGGCCATCGCGGGGGTGCTGCTCTACCTGGGAATCAGGAAGGGGTTCGAGCCGCTTTTGCTGGTGCCCATCGGGTTCGGCGCCATCCTCGTGAACATCCCCCAGGCCGAGCTGATGGCCGAGGGCGGGACGCTCCGGTTCTTCTACGACTTCGGCATCCGCACCGAGATCTTCCCGGTGCTGATCTTCCTCGGCATCGGCGCCATGACCGACTTCGGGCCGCTGTTCTCCAACCCCAAGATCATCATGCTGGGGGCGGCCGGCCAGTTCGGCATCTTTTTGACACTGCTGCTGGCGCTGGGCCTGGGCTTCGACAAGCTGGACGCCGTGGCCATTGCCGTCATCGGCGCCTGCGACGGGCCCACCGCCATCTACGTCAGCTCGCGCTTTGCGCCGCACCTGCTGGGGGCGGTGTCGGTGGCCGCCTATTCGTATATGTCACTGGTGCCGCTGATCCAGCCGCCCATCATGCGGGCGCTGACCACCGCCCGGGAGAAGCAGATCGTCATGGGGATGGTGCAGCAGGCGCCGGCGTCCAAGACCATGCGCATCCTGTTCCCCATCGTCGTCACGGTGGTGGCGTCCATCATCGCGCCCCTGGGGACGCCGCTCATCGGCATGCTGATGCTCGGCAACCTGCTCCGGGAATGCGGCGTGGTGGAGCGGCTCAAGCTGGCCTCGGAGAACGAGATCGCCAACATCGTGACACTGCTGCTGGGACTGTCCATCGGCGGCACCATGGCCGCGGAACGGTTCCTGCAGGTGCAGACCCTGATGGTCCTGGGCCTGGGGCTGGTGGCCATCGGCCTGGACACGGTGATGGGGGTGCTGTTCGGCAAGCTCATGTGCTTCTTCACCCGCGGCAAGATCAACCCGCTCATCGGCGCCGCCGGCATCTCCGCCTTCCCCATGGCCGCGCGGGTGGTGCAGAGCGTAGGACAGCGCTACAACAAGAAGAACCACCTGCTGATGCACGCCATGAGCGCCAACGCCGGCGGCCAGATCGGCTCGGTCATCGCCGCCGCCATCATGCTGTCGGTGCTGAGGGGCATGGGGATATCTGAGGAAAATGGCGCTTTTCGAACCCGCTGGGGACGAACGGAAAAAGCTTGCGCCCTTCGACTTGCGCCCTTCGACTTCGCTCGGCTGCGCCTCGCTACGCTCAGGACGAACGGGGTTGTGGAATGGGATATGGTTTTCCAGCACCACCCGAGTTATGGTCTTCCAGCACCGCAAGGGATACGGTCCCCAGCGCCTCACGCCCTGCCTCCTCCACCGTTCGTCCTGAGCGTAGCGCCGCGCCAGCGGCGCGAAGTCGAAGGACGCAAGCATCCTAGGCCAGGATCTGGAATCCTAGGCCAGGACCTGGAATCCAATCCGTGCTACAATCCATGAATCTAATCCGTGCTATAATCCATAAATCTAATCAATCTATAGTCCATAAACCGTTCGTCCTGAGCGTAGCGCCGCGCAGCGGCGCGAAGTCGAAGGACGCAAGCTTCAGCAACCCCCCCGCCATGAACTTGCGCCCTTCGACTTCGCTCGGCTGCGCCTCGCTACGCTCAGGACGAACGGGGTTGTGGAATGGGATATGGTTTTCCAGCACCACCCGAGTTATGGTCTTCCAGCACCGCAAGGGATACGGTCCCCAGCGCCTCACGCCCTGCCTCCTCCACCGTTCGTCCTGAGCGTAGCGCCGCGCCAGCGGCGCGAAGTCGAAGGACGCAAGCATCCTAGGCCAGGATCTGGAATCCTAGGCCAGGACCTGGAATCCAATCCGTGCTACAATCCATGAATCTAATCCGTGCTATAATCCATAAATCTAATCAATCTATAGTCCATAAACCGTTCGTCCTGAGCGTAGCGCCGCGCCAGCGGCGCGAAGTCGAAGGACGCAAGCTTCAGCAACCCCGCCGCCATGAGTTTCTGGGTCTATATCCTTCGCTGTGGTGATGGCTCCTACTACACCGGCCACACAGACAACCTCGAGCACCGCCTCCAGCAGCACTACGACGGCGTATTCGGATACACCGCCTCCCGGAAACCCTTATCGCTGGTATATTCCTGTCCCTTTCCGACCCGAGCGGAGGCCCTGGAGTCCGAACTGCGGATCAAGGGCTGGAGTCGAACGAAGAAGGAGGCTTTGATGCGCGGGGACTGGGCTGGACTTCATCGGCTGTCTCGTGGGAAAAACAGGCATGAGCGGTAGGGATGGGGAATGGCGCCCTTCGACTTCGCTCGCCCTTCGACAAGCTCAGGACTCGCTACGCTCAGGACGAACGGGGGTTTGGGGGTTTCGGTTGCGGAGAGACTTTCTTCCATTCGTTTTCTTCCGTTCGCCCTGAGCGTAGCGCCGCGCCAGCGGCGCGAAGTCGAAGGGCGCCATTTAAACGCGAGCCAGCACAAGGGGACTTGAATGGCGGACGAAACGACAGCCCCTGACAAATCCACGCCGGAGGCAGAGACCCTGGAGACGAAACTCGCCGAGCTCGAGGCCCAGGTCCTGCGGGGCGACCCCCGGGCCATCGACAAGCAGCACGGCGAGGGCAAGCTCACCGCCCGGGAGCGCATCGACAAGCTCGTGGACCCGGGCACCTTCACCGAAGAGTTCATGCTGGCCGAGACCCAGTGCACGGATTTCGGCATGGCGGAGCGGCGCCGGCCCACGGACGGGGTGGTGTGCGGCTTCGCCCGCATCGACGGGCGGCCGGTGTACCTGTTCGCCCAGGACCGCACGGTGCTGGCGGGGGCGGTGGGCAGCGCCCATGCCGCGAAGATCGCCAACGGCATCCGCACGGCCCGCTCCCTGGGGATGCCGTGCGTCGGGCTCTACGACTCGGTGGGGGCGCGCATCCAGGAGGGGCTGAGCGTCACCTCGGCCATCGGCGAGATCTTCTTCGAGAACAGCATCGCGTCCGGCGCCATCCCGCAGATCTCGGCGGTGATGGGGCCGTGCATCGGCGTGGCGTCCTATTCGCCGGCGCTGACGGACTTCATCCTCATGGTGCGGGACACCAGCCAGATGTTCATCACCGGGCCGCCGGTGATCAAGGAGGTGCTGGGGGAAGAGGTCACCATGGAGGAGCTGGGCGGGGCGCGGATCCACTCGGAGGTGTCCGGGGTGGCGGACGCGGTGAGCGCGGACGACGAGGCCTGCCTGGCGCAGATCCGCGAGCTGCTGGGTTTCCTGCCGGACAACTGCAACGCGCCGCTGCCGCGGAAGGAGACCGGCGACGACCCGGAGCGGCGCCTCGACGGCATCGAAGATCTGGTCCCCGACGACAAGCGCAAGCCCTACGACATCGTCAAGGTGATCAAGGCGGTGGTGGACGAGGCGAGTTCCTGGAGCTCAAGCGCCGGTTCGCGCGCAACCTGGTGACCGGGTTCGGGCGGCTGGACGGCAACCCGGTGGGGTTCGTGGCCAACCAGCCCATGTTCCTGGCCGGCAGCCTGGACGTGGACGCCTCGGACAAGGCCGCGCGCTTCATCCGTTTCTGCGACGCCTTCAACATTCCCATCGTCACGCTGATGGACGTGCCCGGGTTCTTCCCGGGCCGGCAGCAGGAGGAGAAGGGCATCATCCGGCACGGCGCCAAGATGCTCTATGCCTATGCCGAGGCCACCGTGCCCAAGATCACCATCGTGCTGCGCAAGGGCTACGGCGGCGCCAAGCAGGCCATGTGCACGCGCGAGATGGGCGCCGACCAGCTCTGGCTCTGGCCGGGGGTGGAACTCGCGGTGATGGGCGGCGGCGGCGCGGTCAACGTGCTCTACCGCCGCGAGATCGCCGCCTCCGACGACCCCGAGCGCACCCGCGCGGAGAAGATGGCCGAGTTCGCCGAACGCTTCAACGGCCCCTTCGAGGCCGTGTCCAAACAGTTCTCCCAGGCCGCCATCCAGCCCGCCGACACCCGCGCCCGCCTCACCCGCACCCTGGCACTGCTGCGCCACAAGAAAGAAACCCGCCCCGCCAAGAAGCACGGCCTGATGCCGGTGTAGCGGCCCCAAGGGGGCCCCTGGGAGCGAGGGCATCCTGCCCTCGACGAGGGCGGGACGCCCTCGCTCCCGAGGAAACCCTGATCCATTGTCACAGCGCCAAGTTTTCACGGGGCACGCTAAAGAACGGCCGCCGAGGGCCGATTGTTCTTTACATGGCCATACTTGACATTGGTGCCGTTTCCTGGTGTTCTGTTCTGGAACGAACCGTATTCGCGCGAGCAGCGCATCCGGAGATGCAATGATGGGCCTGATCGTTTCCGAACTCTACGATGCGCTGATCGAAGCCGGGGCTTCCCCGGACACGGCAAAGGCCGCAGCCGGCGCCGTACCACCAGCCGAGAACATGGCCACCAAAGAAGACATTGCTAGGCTTGAGGGCAACATGGCCACCAAAGAGGATGTTGCCAGACTCGAGATGGCCACCAAGGAGGACATCGCAAGACTTGAGATGGCCACCAGGGAAGACTTCGCTTAAACATGCGATGGCTACCAAGGAAGACATCGCAAAACATGCGATGGCTACTAAGGAACTCTTCGCTAAACATGAGATGGCCACCAGGGAAGACTTCGCAAGACTTGAGATGGCTACTAAGGAACTCTTCGCTAAACATGAGATGGCCACCAAGGAAGACTTCGCAAGACATGAGATGGCTACTAAGGAACTCTTCGCTAAACATGAGATGGCCACCAAGGAGGACATCGCAAGACTTGAGATGGCCACCAAGGAAGACTTCGCTAAGATGGTCACCAAGGAACTCTTCGCTAAACATGAGACGGCTACCAAGGAACACTTCGCAAAAATCGAGAAGGACTTCGCAAGATTCGAGAAGAAGCTGGCCGTTCTCAATTTCGCGGTGTTCACCATGGGCCCCGTCCTGGTGGCCTTCATGGTCAAGCTGACCTTCTTCCCGTAGGTCGGATTAGCGAAGCGTAATCCGACAAACCGACAAACCTGCCCCTACTTTCGCTCGGTCATGATAGCCAGCCGCGTCAGCCCGGCCGACCGCGCGGCATCCATCACCGCCACCACCAGGCCATGGGGGACCCGGCGGTCCGCCCGGATCAACACCTGCGCGTCGCGGCCTTCTCCAGCCATCGCCCCAAGCCGTTCGCGAAGCGCCGGCAGCGTCACCGGCGCGCCGTCGAGATGGATCTCGCCCGCCGGCGTGACGACAATCCGTATGTCGTCGTCCTGGCGCGCCACCTGCGGGGCGGAGGCGTCGGGCAGATCCACGGTGATCCCGGGATTGACCAGGAAGTTCATGGACAGGGCGAAGAAGATCAGCAGGTTGAAGATGGTATCCACGAACGGCGTCATGTCGACGAAGCCGCCCGCGGGTCTTCTGCGGGGCTGGAAGTTCATGTCAGTCGGTCAGGCCCTCGGGGTTGAGCAGGTCCATGAAACGGGTGGCGAGCCGCTCCATCTCCAGGGTGAGGGCGTTGGCCTTGTTCAGCAGGTAGCGGTGCATGACGATGGTGGGAATGGCCACGCTCAACCCGGCCAGGGTGGTGACCAGCGCCTCGGAAATGCCGCCGGCCAGGGACGCCGGGTTGACCACGCTCTGGGTGGAGATCACCGAGAAGATCTCGATCATGCCCGAGATGGTACCCAGCAGGCCGAGCAGCGTGCTGACCCCGGCGATGGTGCCGAGGGTGTCCACGAACCGCTCCAGCCCGGCCGCTTCCTGGCGGCCCGCCTCCTCCAGGTGATCCTTCACGACGTCGCGGCGCTGCCCCGACGCCCGCAACCCCGCCGCCAGCACCCTGGCGATGGCCGCGCGGCTCTGGCGCAGCAACTCCATGGCCGCGGGCAGGTCCTTGTCGGCGACCAGCGCCTCGGTCCTCCGCACCAGGTCGGCCGGGACCACCCGATGTCTTCTCAGGCTCAACAGCCGCTCGACGAAGATGGCCACGGCCGTGATCGAGCACAGCAGGATCGGGACCATGAAAAGGCCGCCCTTGCCGAGAAATTCCAGCATGAGGGGCCAATATCGATTATTCTTGACTTCGGGTAAAGCCCGGAAAGCCCCGGCAAGAAAGCCGCGGCCAGGAAGAAGGCGCCGGCCAGGAAGAAGAAGTAGCTAAGTAGCAGCGAGCTCCGGCGGAAGGGTCCCGTTGCTTTGCGCGCCCGTGTATGGCGTAAAGGAATCAGGGACCCTTATGAACGACGTCAACCTGTTCATCGCCTTCGCGGCCGGAGGCCTGTCGTTTCTCAGCCCGTGCGTGCTGCCGTTGATTCCGTCCTATCTGTCGTTCGTTTCCGGCATCTCGCCCCGCGAAATCAGTGAAGGCCGCCCGGCCAACGCACGGGTCATGGGCAACGCCCTGGCCTTCGTGTTCGGCTTTTCCGTCGCTTTCGTCGCCCTGGGAGCGTCGGCAAGCCTCCTGGGAAGCCTCCTGCTCAGCTATCAGGACGTGGTTCGCGTGGTCGGAGGCCTGTTCATCCTGGTGGTGGGAGTCTACCTCACCGGGCTCTTCCAGGTCGCCACCCTCGAGCGTTACGCGCAGTTCAATCTGCGCAGCAAACCGGCGGGCTATCTCGGATCGGTGCTGGTGGGGCTGACCTTCGCGGTGGCGTGGATCCCCTGCGTGGGGCCGATCCTGGGCGCCGTCCTGACCCTGGCCGGCACCGCCAGCGAAATCTACCGGGGCATGCTGCTGCTGTCGGCCTACGCCGCAGGGCTGGCGCTGCCGTTTCTCCTGAGCGCCCTGGCCATGAACCAGTTCTTCAGGCTCTCGCGCGCCATCAGCTCCTGGCTCCCGGCCATCCACGTCTGCGCCGGCCTGCTGCTGATCGCCGTCGGCGTCCTCCTGCTCACCGACACCATGACCGCCCTCAACGCCTACGCCCTCCGCTTCACCCCGGCCTGGCTGGTCACGCGGCTGTAGCGGCGGCGAGTCCATTGTCCCATTGCCATTCATCAATGAGGCGCGTGACGTGGTAAAATAATCGACGGCATCTTTCTCTGAGTACTAAAGAAACGAAAGAAGTGGCCGAAATAGTAATTACGAGCCCGGATCGTCGGAATCGCTACTAACTCATGGCTGAGTTTGCCAAACAGGTACGACCGCCACTAGGCGTTTTTCAGGCATACCATGACCGCATCGAGGCGCTGCGTAGCGATGCCGTGCTTGACGGTTTCGCGGTAAACGAGACCTCCGAACGGGATTTTTGGTCATTCGTGAAGTCCGTGCCCTTCTGTATCAAAGCCGAGGTTGTACTCGTGGACAATGGCAACCTGCGCGCCATCTGGGATGGTGAGGACGGCAGCCACATTGGACTCCAATTTCTCGGAGACCGCATGGTGCAATACGTGATCTTTCGCCAGCGACAGGGAAGCCGCCATATCTCACGGGTAGCCGGACGGGACACCTTCGACGGCGTGCGACAGCAGCTACGAACCTTCGAGATCGAGCCTCTACTGCAAGCATGACCGGCCAAGAACTACCTGACGACGATCATGTCGTCCGGTATGTAAAACCTACAAGCATCCGCACCGACGGAAAGGTCGCGGGCTCCGCATTTTGCCTGCGCGCGCAGCGGCCGGATGATACCGGCTTGTCTGTCAACTGGCTTGAATGCTTTCGCGGCCGCACCAAGGATCAGCAGGTCGCCGAAGTGAGGTCGTTGTCAAGGCTAACGATGAGGGAACGCGGCCGCCTTGCCGAACTGAACATCGGCGCAACGAAGCAGTACCTCCGCAGCGAGCTGGACCCCCTTCACTTCGTTCACAAGCCGCTCGTCCCCGAGGGCGACTACGACGCAGACCCATCACACAGCGAAATGGTCGGCTTGCCTCCAGCGAAGTCGCCCGATGCAGAATTGATCGGCGACATGATCGCGGAATGCATAAGCGCCATCTATCCCGCCATCCAACGCTAATCCAAACTCAGGGCTAGCGCCGCATAGCGGCCGCGGCAAAGGCTTTCTTGCCGGCGTAGCGGGCGCGGCGGCCGAGTTCCTGCTCGATGCGGAGGAGCTGGTTGTACTTGGCGGTGCGCTCGCCGCGGCAGGGGGCGCCGGTTTTGATCTGGCCGGCGCCGGTGGCGACGGCGAGGTCGGCGATGGTGGTGTCCTCGGTCTCGCCCGAGCGGTGGGAGATGACGGTGGTGTAGCCGGCGGCGCGGGCGAGCCGGATGGTTTCGAGGGTCTCGCTCAGGGTGCCGATCTGGTTGAGCTTCACCAGGATGGAGTTGGCGACGCCGCGCCGGATGCCTTCCTCCAGCCGCGTGGGGTTGGTGACGAACAGGTCGTCGCCGACGAGCTGCACCTTTTTTCCAAGGGCGGCGGTGAGCATCTCCCAGCCTTCCCAGTCGTTCTCCCCCAGGGCGTCCTCGATGGAGACGATGGGATAGTTGCGGACCCATTTCTCGTAGAGGCCCACGAGGGCCGCGCTGTCCATCTTGGCGCCGCCCGACTTCCTGAAGACGTAGGAGCCGGCGTCATGAAACTCGCTGGCGGCCACGTCGAGCCCCAGGACCACCTGGGTCCCGTCCTGGTAGCCGGCCTTGACCACCGCCTCCAGCAGCAGCTCGATGGCCTCCTCGTTGCTGCCGAGACGCGGCGCGAACCCGCCCTCGTCGCCCACGCTGGTGCTGTAGCCCTTCTTGCTCAACACGCTCTTGAGGGTGCCGTAGATCTCGGCGCCCGCCCTCAAGGCCTCGGAGAACGAACGGAAGCCCCAGGGGATCACCATGAACTCCTGGACGTCGACGTTGTTGTCGGCATGGGCGCCGCCGTTGACCACGTTGAGCATGGGCACGGGCAGGGTGCGCGCATCGTCTCCACCGAGGTACCGGTACAGGGGCACCTTGTCGGCCGCTGCCTGAGCCCGGGCCGCGGCCAGGGACACCCCGAGAATGGCGTTGGCGCCCAGACGGCCCTTGTCCGGAGTGCGGTCCAGGTCGATCATGCACTGGTCCAGCTTGCGCTGGTTCCTGGCATCCATACCCACCACCCGCCGCGCCAGGTTTCGCTTGACGTGACCCGCGGCCCGCAGCACGCCCTTGCCCATGAAGCGGGCGCCGCCGTCGCGCAGCTCCACGGCCTCGTGCTCGCCGGTGGACGCCCCGGAAGGCACGGTGGCCCGGCCGCGCGCGCCATTGGTCAGCACCACCTCCACCTCGACGGTGGGATTGCCCCGTGAATCCAGTACTTCCCGCGCAACAACACCCGTTATTTTCATCGCTTCCTCCGGTTCGTCCCCCGTCCGTTCTCCTTTCGTAGCAGATTTCGGCGCGGCAGTGTGCCTCCCCGCCCCACGCCCCCTGGATTCCCGCTTTCGCGGGAATGACGATACGGGGCGTCGGCGCCATTCCGTACCCAGGTGGAGTTTTGACGCACCCGCTTTCGCGGGAATGACGGTACGGGTGGCGGCGTCATTCCCGCAACCAAGCGAAGTTTGACACAGCCTGTTTCGCGGGAATGACGGTTTCGGGGCCGTGTCACGGAACGCATCCGGTCGGTTGCACTCCGGGGCTTCATCACACATGATAGTAAGGTCCCATGACCTTGCCGAAGAAACTGTCGCAGCACGTCATCAACTACGGCCTGATGGCCGCGTTGGCGCTGATGCTATCCTTCCTGGTGTTCGGCGAGTGGGGTCTGCTGCATTACCAGCGGTTGGCCGAGGAACGCCGGTTGCTGGAGGAGCGGTCCCAGGCGTTGCAACGGGAAAACGAACTGCTGCGGGAGAAGATCTACCGCATCACCAAGGACGACCGTTATCTGGAGAAGGTCGCGCGGGAAGACTTCGGCCTGGCCAGGAAAGGCGAAATCATCTTCCTGTTCCCGGGCGGGGGCGTCAAAGAGGCGGGAGCCAAGAACGGGCGGTCACGCCCGCAAGATTGACATCATTTCCGCGATCCAATAGAAGGTTAAACCAGAGCGGGCGTAATTCAGCGGTAGAATGCCAGCTTCCCAAGCTGGACGTCGCCGGTTCGATCCCGGTCGCCCGCTCCAACCCACCCCACCTCCACCGGCTCGCTTTGGCCCATACTGCCGAGCCTCGCTCCACCGCCCTCCGACCCCCCCACCCTCTCCCACACCCCCTCTGAGGAGACGGGTTGGGTGAGGGTGCTCCTTTGCAGCACAACCGGTTTGTGAATGGCAAGGAATTGAAGGGGGCCAGCTGTTGGTGCCCCTCACCCGCCCTCTCGGCCACCCCTCCCAAAGGGAGAGGGGGTGGGTTGGGACTACGATGCCAACTCTTCTCCCAAAGGGTAAAAAGAACAGGCCGCTGTGGATTTGGGACGGTACGCAGGCCACCCCTCCCCGAGGAGATGGGTTTGCGTCTGGCTGACGAGGGTTGCCGATTCTTCTACGCCGCGACCGGCAACCGGTCGCCTGACACGGGCGTGACCATCCGTCCTACGCGAGATATGGCCGCCACGGTCTGCCTTAAGTCCACCACGCGAGCGTTGTCGTCGGGCGACTCCACCACCCGGGGCAGTGCGTCCTCCAGCAGCATGCTGGAAGGAATGCGGCAATCCAGACCGCCCTGGCCCTGCACGCGTTGCGCTCGCATGGTGGCTCCATGATGGACGCGTGGGGGGGTTGCGCGGATCACCCGGCGGGGCGGTGATGCTGCGGGTGAAGGTTGTGGAGACTGTGTGTGGGTGGGGCGTCATGTGCGGTGTGGGGGGGGGGGCTTGGGGGACGATCTGCTGTGAGTGCCGTCCGGTTTGTGCAGGCCACCTCGGCCGTACACGCAGGATGGCGAGTGCGGCTCCGCCAGGGTGATGGCCGGGTGCGCTGAAGTACTCGTGGGACTGACGGGAACCGGATGGCTCCGGTGCAGCTCGCGCTGCAGCTCCAGCAGCAGCGTCTGCATGTCCGCCAAGGATCGCACAGGATCCAGTTGTGTGGTGGGGCTGCTGACTGCGGGGGGCCGGGGTGCTGGTCCATCAACGAGATTCTGGTCGTGGATGTTCCAGGCGCCCGGAGCTCAGGCCAACGGCGTTGCTCCTGCCGCCCGAGAGCTGAATGGGACGGAGCGCCTCGTTAGCCCGATAATCCCGACCCGCTCGATCCACCCCTCGGCCCGCTCATCACATTCCCCGCGCACAACGCCCTGCATCTGGAGACCGTACCTGACGTTTCTCAGTTCGCCGTGGGGGACAGCCGGCGAAGCCTGACAACACCATGCGTTCTTGTGCCGGCGCAGATTCTGGGGCAGCGGCCCCGTGTTCAGCGCCTAGCACGTCCCTGCCCGTGCCACTCGGCAACCGTCCCACGCGGGGATCATACGCGGTGACGTGCCTGCATGGGGTCGACTTCCGGCAGACCGGCTGAGGCTCCTACCACCTGATGCTGCCCGTACGTCACCCGTCCATGTTGATGTTACGGACTACGCAGGCCCAGCACGTGGCCGTGGGATTCCATCAGCTCCTGCTTTTCCACGCCGTCCCGCACGTGCGGCATCACCGACTCGGGATCGTCGCCGAAGACCTTGTAAAGCGAACGGATTTCGATATTCGAAGAGCTTGCCATAATCATGAGGTCTGCCTGCTACTTTGTTGTATGCGCGGCTGCCGTTCTCTGGTGATACGGTCGACACGACTGGCGTCACGCCACCACCCCGGCGGCCAGCGCCCACGTGAACAGGCCGAGGGCGAAGTACTGGTTGGTCACCGCCTGGAGCACGGGCTCGGGCCCATGCCTTGACGAGAGGCCGCTGCATCGAACGATCCTACCATAGGAGATCCGCCATCATGAATGGTCTGGATTGAGACGCGCCGCCATGATGTTGGGGACGCGCCAGCATGCATCTGTCATGTCGAACATT